AAATTCTGTATCTTCGTGACCGAACGCCATTGAGAAACGAATCCTTTTGGTAGTAAAGTGTGGATTTTGAGGTTAACATACCTAACCCTTTATTGGAGTATTTTTTGGTTCTGAACCTCTATTGGAGTACTTTTTGTTCTAACGTTTGATTGGAGTACTTTTTGGTTTTAACACATTATTGAAGTAATTTTTGGTTCTCACCCTTTATTGGAGTAATTTTTGGTTCTCACCCTTTATTGGAGTACTTTTTGGTTTTAACCTTTTGTTGTACTTTTTGGTTTTAATCCTTTATTTAAGTACCTTTTGGTTTTAACCCTTTATTTAAATACATTTTAGTTTTAACCTTTTGTTGTACTTTTTGGTTTTAATCCTTTATTTAAGTACCTTTTGGTTTTAACCCTTTATTTAAATACTTTTTAGTTTTAACCTTTTGTTGTACTTTTTGGTTTTAATCCTTTATTTAAGTACCTTTTGGTTTTAACCCTTTATTTAAGTACTTTTTAGTTTTAACCTTTTGTTGTACTTTTTGGTTTTAATCCTTTATTTAAGTACTTTTTGTTTCTATCTTGAATACCGGAAACTGTGGAACCCCTCTGTAACCCACCCAATCCCCCGAATTCTGTTTCATCAACTTACAAACTGTAGCGTTAAAACAGTTATATTAAACTTAACGGAATGATGGTGGGACAAGAGTAAGGAAATTTATATCTTTAGTATTGTAGTTGATAATTACATATACCATAAATCTGAATAGCTTTCAGTGGCCATGAGGGTAAAAAGGTTTAACAATGATTATCAGTGGAATATTTTAATACAGAAAAATGGGGAAATAGAAATTACACAGCGAGAAGTTAAACTGTAAATTTCATAATAGCAAAAGTTATTTAATCTTTTAGTTAGCTAAATTCAATGAAAAATTAATTGGGGCCATAAATTATCAGCAAAAATAAAAGTCATGGCTCTAATTTAATTGAAATAAAATACTTTATCTATTCGAATATGTATTATTTTTATTATGTTTCTTTTTCAAAATAATAAATAACGTTCTTGGATTTATTTGAGCAAAAACCACAATGCAAACCTACTATTATAATTTATTATTGGTTAGTTATAATTGTGAAGTAATAACCTAATAACTTTGTATAATGCAATGCAAAATGCATAACTTATTACAATACATCTATATAAATATAATAGTACTGTCTGTTCCATGTCCATGTAACAACTTCGCAGGGTGTGGAGGTTCATTGGGTACGTGGGGAGATACATACAAATTTTTAGTTTTACGTTTTGCATGAGCGTTTTTCACCACTACTTCGCCCCTGTTGATGGATATTCACAAAATTTGGCACGAAGGTTTGTTGGGCCCATGCGAAGATACCTGCAAATTTGCGGTTTCACTTTTGTGTTTTGTA